GTTTTTGGCGGCCGTGATGGCTCCTCCCAACTAGCTTCCGTGGTCTTCTGCCATCTGCGCGCAGACTGGCGGGAGAAGGTGACCTCAACGCGCACCGCTGACTTTTGGCAGCCAGCTGCCGCCATGAGAACTGCGCGATCCGGGCTCGCAGCGACACCCTTTCGGGGAGCAATCCTGGTCGCCGGTGGACGGAAGAGTGGAAAGACTCTCAACGTGGTGGCGATGTTCTCACCGCCAGACGCCAGGAGCCCCTTCGGCCAGTGGACAGAGCTGGCCGGCATGAAGCAGCCTCGCTATTGTTTCACTCTTATCACCTCCGCCAATGCCGTCTTTGCTCTTGGTAAGGCAACACACAATAAAACGAATTCTTTCCTTCTCTTCCTCTCTTCCTCTCTCTCATGCCATTCGTTTGCCTCATCCACGTAGCCAATTTTACATGGCACAAGAGCATTAAATCACCTGACTTGCCGTTGGAGGTTTTTCATGCGCACTGCGCCATTACAGCCAGAAGTGGTCGCCTCGCTGTGCATACTGCCTAACCTCCTTTTTAATATCTTTTCTCTCGTGTTTCATTTTTCCTCTAATGAAACTTCACTATGATTATGCAAAATTTGTAGGCAACGTGGACGCACCGAGTAACACGGTAGAGACTCTCACGGCACCTGGAGGTTCAGCTGACTTAGACTTGACATCTTGGGTCTGGTCATCCGAGAGCCCGGTGGAGACACTTGAAGACATTGCCGGCGCTGCAAGCGTCCGCATGTAAAAGTCTGCGCTTATTTATTGTTTCATGTTAACTTGGAGTGCCCTCCATTGCACTGACTTTAAAAATAAATGACATGCAAATAAATCAGCCTTGACATTTGTTGTTGCAAAACTTCGGAAGGATGCGAGAGGTGTCCAGCATATGGGACGACTACGTAAACTAGTTAATTTGTTCGAGGCAGGTGCCACCCAGTGCAAACAGTACAAGTGGGCTTATGTTGAATTTTTGTGGTGTTAGTATATGCTTCTGCATCTACTCCCTGCTTCCTCGTGCTGAAGCATTTCGCCGCTAATCATACGTCGACTTGCTACCGCAAAATTCCCGAATTTACCGTTTCCAAACACTGTCCTCTAGATACATTTGCCTCTTTCTTGACCTGCTAGTTGAGATAGGATAGTGTTTCACCTGTACAGGACTCAAACGTGTAGAAAATCAGTGCACTACGAAATAACAACAATTAAGATTTCTGAACCGAAAATGCAGATTTGGTTAGGACCGCAGCAGGCAAGTCAACCGAGAGGTACTCAGTTAACATGGGGGTTCGCTTACCTTGTAGCCTACTGTGGGGTTGCAGACGGAGCCTCATCTTTGAGATGGTGATGCAATGATCCGGAGGACTCAATGTATGTCATGTGAGGTGGCTGATCGTGAATGAACCTGAACCTCTCTGGCTTAGCCACGCCGGAGGACAAATGCGTGCTTTGGATGCTGTACCCTTTGTGTCTTCATCATTTATCTACGACTGTCTCTGATGATGGCTCCGAGTGAGAATCCGAGACATTAGACCAGAAAACCTGCAATAGTAGTAGTAGTAGTAGTAGTAGTAGTAGTAGTAGTAGTAGTAGTAGTAGCAGTAGTATTAGCGGCAGGAGAGGTAGTAGTAGTTGTAGAAGTGGAAGCATTTGTAGCAGTATTAGAAGTAGTAGGAGCATTAGCAGTAGTAGACGTGGTAGCAGCAGTAGTTGCAGTAGAAGTAGTAGTAAAATTTGGAAGAGTGGTAACATTAGTATCGGTAGTAGCGGCAGTAGAAGTAGTAGTGGTAGCAGTAGTAGACTTTGCAGTAGAATTGGTGGTAGCAGTGATGGTGGTAGTAAAAGTTGAAGGTAGTAAACGTGTAGGAAGCAGTAGCACTGACTGTATTAGAACTAGTAGTAGTGGTAGTAGCAGTGGCAGTAGTATAGGTAGTACCAGTAGTAGTAAGAGTACCATTAGCAGTAGTAGTATCAGTGACAGTAGTAGGACTGGAGACCCATTTGTTTTTAGCAAAGGAATACATGAGTTGAACGATCTTACCGTGTGACCATACCGGACTCTATCACCACCTTAGTGTAAAGCGCTTTAAGACTACTAGATATGCGCTGTAGCCAGACCACAAACAACAGCAGAACGGCTTAATGCAGTGTTTGTGAAGCATTTCGCTCCTGGAATCTTACCCTATTGCATGTTACCGTCTATTTTGCCAATATCCTGCATTCACGCTTAGAATATGATCATGTGAGTCGACACTATCTGCCTGAATAAGCCGCGCAGTTGCATGCACCACTAATGCGTGTCTGACGGCCAGACCCCTATCTGCTACTGTATGCCCTGAGCCATGGGACGCTCGCACACCTGACGAGGTAAAATCGATCGCGTTCAATACGTATCGTGATATCGATCGCAGCACGTGCACGTAGCTTTTCTCAGATGGCCTAGTGTTAGTCACTTTCTGTTGTCCGTATTTAGCTCATTACTAACAGTTGCACAGCCATTGGCGTTAATGTTACTAGTATTACTTCAGTCCGTGTTGCCTACGCCACAACAGTTACAAAAGTAGTAGTATTCGTAGTGGTGGTAGTGGTAGTAGTAGCAGTAGTAGTACTATTAGTAGTGGTTGCAGTATAAGTAGTAGTGGTAGTATAGCATTGGTGGTCGTGGCAATACTAGTATTAGGGGTAGCAGTAGTAGTAGTAGTAGTAGTAGTAGTAGTAGTAGTAGTAGTAGTAGTAGTAGTAGGGGTAGTAGCGGTAGTAGTAGTAGTAGTAGTAGTAGTAGTAGTAGTAGTAGTAGTAGTAGTAGTAGTAGTAGTAGTAGTAGTAGTAGTAGTAGTAGTAGTAGTAGTAGTAGTAGTAGTAGTAGTAGTAGTAGTAGTAGTGGTACTAGTACTAGTAGTAGCAGTAGTAGTACTGTTAGTAGTGGTTGCAGTATAAGTAGTGGTGGTAGTAGTAGCATTGGTGGTCGTGGCAATAGTAGTAGTAGTGGTAGCAGTAGTGGTAGTAGTTGTTGTTGTTGTAATAGTAGTAGTAGTAGTAGAAGTAGTAGTAGTAGTAGTAGTAGTAGTAGTAGTAGTAGTAGTAGTAGTACTAGTAGTAGCAGTAGTAGTGGTGGTAGTAGCAGTAGTAGTAGTGGTTGCACTAACGACAGTATCAGTAGTAGCAGTAGTATTATTAGTAGTGGTTTCGGTATTAGTAGTCGTGGCAATAGTAGTAGTTGTTTTTGTTGTTGTATTGGTGTTATTAACAGTACCCTATGGTAGCAAAATCACCGCTGACATTTACCCATAGCAGCGGTACTATGTTTGCATTTCCCGGATGTATTCGATCTACTTACTGCAGCGGCAATTCGTCAGGCACCGGCAGTAGCCACAATAGCTAGTCTAATTTCAGAAGACTTAGTGCGGTTGTTCTGCATGTCGCTGACGTACTAGGACCGGTAGTTGCTGCTGTCGCGCTACACGCGAGAATAGTAGAATGTAAAATAATTTCCGTACTGTTGGCTGTCGTCAAATTAGTATTTACATATGTAGCCTTTTCGTTGTAGTCTTGGTAATAGTAGTAATATCAATGGCATTACTAATAGTACTAGGGGCAGTGGTGTTAGTAACTGTACTAGAAATATGGTTGGTGGCAGTGACACTTTTGGTGATTTTGATGGTTGTACCAGCTGTAGCAGTCGTAATTTACTGAGTTGCAGTAGCTGTGGCTGTATAAAGGTTGAGTAGCAGTAATTCTAGCTGTGGAAGTATTCATACTGCTGCAACATCCGCTATCAAACGTTGTAATATTGACAGTATTGACAGCGACAGCATTAGTAATAGTAGTAGCTTCCGTCTATGTACTTGTTTCTGATTTCCTAACCTTACTATTTTTAGAAGGATTACCAGCAGTCGCAGTATTGCTCTTCACTAACAGTGGCGCTGATACTAGCGGTAGTACTAGTTGCAAATCAATTGGCAGTATCAGTCTTTCAGGTAGTATCTGCTGAGGTATTTGTAGTACTATTACTTATTGTGGACCTTGCACTTCCTACCGATGAAGTAGTCATAGTGATGCCAGCGGTACTGAAATTTCTTACCGCCTTACTACTCTCGGGAGTGGTATGCCTGCCGATTGACACCAATCTCGATGACGTGAATGTAACGTTGAGTGGTACTTGCAGTTGTAGTATTACTATGTGTCACAGTATTCATAATAGTAGTAGAGGTCCTGGTATCAATAATAGTTGTGCTGCACATCAGTGCAGTAGTACTCGTAGAAATCGTGCTGGTAGTAGTAGTAGTAGTAGTAGCAGTAGTAGTAGTAGTAATAGTAGTAGTAGTAGTAGTAGTAGTAGTAGAAGTAGTAGTAGTAGTAGTAGTAGTAGTAGTAGTAG